TAATTATCATGAAGTGGAAAGACTAAAATTAACACCTTTTAATGATTTTTTAGTATAACGGATTATGATTAAAATATACATTCGTATTGTATGAGATAAAAATTATGCAAACAAACTTAGCTGGAGTCCAAATTTTTGATTTCACACAACGCCAGGAGGTGAATTAGCGCTCATCACTTTTACACTATTTTTAAATGATTTATTCGAAACCAAATTGCAATTCATTTTGATTGCGAAGGGAAACTCTTTTCTTTGGGCAAAACGTGCAAAATATTGATAAAAAATTTATGATCAGTGAAAATATCATAAGTGTTGAAATTATGTTGCATTTCAAGCATCTTTTTTTAAACAGATAGTTTTAATGTGAATTGTTTATCAGTTGCTTGGTAAAAGATCAACTCATTTTGGCTTTAAATCAGATAAAATATTTTTGCTATTAAATAATGTTTCCGTTGCAATACTTTCGAATCAATTTAAAATGATTTCGATTTTAAAAAATTTTATAAAATTTTTGAGTAGAAAGACTTGTCTAATTTCGACACTAAATATATTTAAATATTTATTTGAATATAAATCGTATAGAATAAACCCTCTAAATACTCACTAATAAAAAAAATAAAACAAATAAAAAACATTCCAAATAAAGAAAGACTGTGACTTCATATTTTTCGTTACAATATTACATATTACATATTATAAAAATAGCACTTAATATTTAGGTACAGTTAAGCTAAGTTTTACTGGCAATCTAAAGAATCCACTTAACACATTCTGCATATAAAAACTCGGAAGCTTAAAAAACCGCCTTAAAGCTTTGCCAAACCTTAAAATGTTTTATAAAGAGAGGTCTTGAAACTGACTAAGATCATCGTTAAACCTAATCTCTATCACAATTAAATGACGCATGCGACAGACAGTCATAAAGTAGACATCAGACACTCTTTTGGTCTTCATAAATCAGAAGATTCAATTTTATAGCATGATTCCTTAAACAAATGTCACCTATCAAAAAATCTACCACAAGACTGGTATTCTTACAGGGTATCTATAGGAGATTGGTGGATTTTTTTATTAAACCGGGGACAACTTGCACATAGATGTCCCCAGATTAAGTCCTCTCATTTTATATCAAATTTTCTGAACTCAAAAAATTTTTAAGAATAGATGCTTGATGCCAGCGATATGTCGGTTGTAAGAGAGTATTACCACCTATTAAGGTCAACATGTATTTTAAAAATGATAAGGATAAAACCACGTTCCTCATTTTTAAAAAAACTAGTAACATAAGGATATTTGAAACATTAGAAATTAAAGAGATGCAGGAACAAAAATGATCAATTTATATAAATAAAAAAATACAATTTGTATACAGTTTAACTCATATTATAAATAAACAAATATTTGTATTAAAATTAAACCAAGAATAATAAAATCCTCAAAAAAATTCTAATATAAAAACAACAGATATTATTACATTGATCCTAATTTTGTGTGTTTAGATCACTAGTCACTAATTAAAGTGAACAAACTCAAGAAAGTGGAGCTCCGTGACTGGTGCTTCGAGAATGGAGTCTCGAGACACGATTATGTCTCCAGTTTTTTTTTTATGTTACCTGTTTTTAATAACAGAACGTCATACCTGATATTGAAATGAGATTAAAATCGCTAATAATATTGACTCTGAAGTAATATGCTGTCTTTTTAACAACCATTAAGAGTTCTTATTTAATTTCGCAAGAAAAAATTAGGTAAATATCAAAAGAAAAATAGAAATGGACTTTGTGCCTCTAAATGACCATATTAGGAAACTCTTGTTACTTATAAATCGTAGCAGTTCTAAACCTTAGGTTTTATCTTCCAAATAACAAAAATCTATCTACGGGTATTTAAATAAAAAAATGTTTTGATATATGAAAGCGTAACTTTAATTAACTTTGAAAAGAAGAAATTCACTAAAGCATTTACTTAAGAATTTATAATGAGTTACTCTATCTGAAAATGCTTTCTGAAAGCACTATTTTTTATATTTTGTTAGAAAAATCTATATCTATGATAAATGTGTACTCTATTAAAATTGTACATTACTAATATATAGTAATAAATAATATTTTAATATAAAGATATATATGTTAAATGGTTGTTTTTCCTGTACTATAGAGGACCAACTCCAAATATGTTTGATTTCTAAATAGATACTATACATACAGAAAAACTTCTTTATTTAAGAATTGAATTCTATTTTGTTACAATTGAATTTGATATATTTATGTAAAATTATGACATATCAAATGGATATGTTTCTGTGCAGCCAGATGTCCAGCATTCACGCCATCTCTTCGTCAATCGACCAGATAATCTCGCAACTATTGGTTTCTCTGCCATTGCATTTTTAGCCAGGCTATGATTTTCCATTATTTGAACATGCAGACTCCAGAACTAAGAATTTATTTTTATTTCATAAGTGAAACTACTAAGAACATTATAAATACACAAATTAGTCACTTATTGAGTATACTTAACTTTTTGTGCAGAAAGGGGCCGTTTAAGAGTACACGTTTGTTAGTGCCTATAGAACTTACTATAAAATTTCCAGAGGCTATTATATATTTTCTATTTCCGATATTTTGGTAGCTATTTGCAGCAAACAGTTTATATATATATTAATATCACTTAAATTTTAAAACATAATGCAAAAATAATTTTTCAAAATCAATCTATATTTCTTTTAGTATTGATAGTTTATGAATTCTTTGGGAAATGTTTTTTTAAAAAGATTGATTAAATCATATATAATACATTTTAACTGAGCATAAAATAATTTAAAGTACTTTCAAATATTATTCATCAATTACTGTTATTCAATGCAGCTCAAATTTGATATAACTTTTATTTTGTAACTTTTGAAATCCATTATATTAACTGTATAGAGTAAAGAGAATTCAAAATTTTTAATTTATATTCATTTTCAATTTACATATTTATTTTAATATTTCGTATCAACGTACTTAGAATAATTTTATCAGCTACATCTACTTAATATGAACTTCGAACATTTCTACAGTTTCCATTTAAAGAAAATTTCTAATTAGCTTTTCTAACCGGAAGAAATTAATGTTTCTTTAAAATCTGACTTCTTTAAAATACTTCTCAAATTAGGAAAAATACATTAAATTACTATAAAAACACAATGTAAATTTTTTATAAATTTTTTATTAATAAATTTATTTACTCTAACTCAAGGTAAGTGATTTTCTATTTGTTAAACTTTTATTTTATTCATTCACTTAAAGCGCATTCAACCTGAATACAAATTATGTTTAAATTAATTTTTTCTACCAAAAAGAATTTCATAATAAAAATTAAAGAAACAAAACTGGTCACTAAAAGTGTGTCAACAAATACAATTTATTTATGTAGGAATATTATGAGTTTAAATGACTTCAAATGACACATGAAGAAGATATTTATGAAGAAAAGATTCAACAAAAATAAAAAAGTCATAAAGACGTGCTTGAAAATACACGAACAAAAATAAAGAACAACGTGAAGAAGAAATCAGAATCATTGACGAGAACTTCACAAAAAAAGATTCAGATATTTAATAAAGATTGAGATATTTTACAAAGATTTCAAAAAAAATTATGTCAAAAAGTGAGGGAAAAATAAAATGAATCTCATTGCTGAACTTTGAACTTATTTTAATTTAAACAAATTAAAAAAAAATTATAACATTTAATGTTTTTAGTTACTTTCAATTATTAAGACTAATATTCTTATAATAAAAACTATTTTTTATTTTATATAATTTAAATAAGTAACACAATATATTAATTTATATTGGAAAACTTCGTCCAATAGTTATGGCACATTTCGTAAACTTGACATTAATATTTCAAAAAACCAGCTAACTGGACCATAATCCAGCTATTACTGAAAATTAAAAATTTGCAATATTTCTATAGAAAAAACTGTCTTGACATTTTCCATGTTGAAAACTAACTTATTAGCAATGAATAATAAAATTAAAAGTTTAAAAATGGTGAATGGTAAGTACTGATGGCAACCTATCTCACAAAGGAAGCAACTGGTTTAAACATTGATAATAGGTCCATTTTAACACAGTATAAGGGGCACGTAAACTGTTCTAGGAGAACTCTACTGTTCTAAGTAGAGACATCCTTATTTCGGTAATGTAAATATTAAAATAAAATTTATAACAAATATTAACCAAAAACTTTATAAAAATAGATCGAAGTAACTATTACTTAGTTCGCCAGAATTAGTTAAAGAATTCAGCGAAGTTCTCACGTAATACTATAATGAATAAGAAATCTGTGTATAAAATTTTCTTTAGCGACTATAATGACTTTAGTGACCATAATGAATAAGAAATCTGTTTATAAAATTTTCTTTAGTGACTGCCTTAATAACGCATTACATTTGCTTATATCAAATTTTTGCAGAATATTTTCACTATCCTTATTAAATAAAAGCCGCAAAAAATTTATAACAATAACTGTAAGCTGTATATTATCAATATAATAAGCTACAAAACTATAAAATGAATTTCACTTTCTTATATAAATATCAACATAATTATCTACTTAAAACTAATTAAAATAAACAAATCAACGAACCTTTAATTGAAAATGTAGCCATCCATAATGTATGAGAAATCGATTGTTAACAAGAAAACAACAAACCATTAAATCAAAAATTTTGAACATATAGGTACTTATAAACAATTGTTAACAATCCCTTAATTTATCTGTAAAAATGCTTTTGTTACCTACATTAATGCAGCAATTAATTAAGTTGCTCATTAGTTGCAAAATATTTGCAATCAAAACTACCAAATCCATTCAAATCAATTTTGGTAAAAACATAAAAATTAATCAGTCTAAATTCCGTAAACGGTCAGTTGATATTATTTTAACCATAAAATTCCATTAGAATCATTAACGAGAAAATAAAACTATTGACTGACCAAATTAACTTACCTTAAAATCATTTTGTTAACGGAGCTTTTATCAACAGCAATAATGTTAATGACTTCTTTTTACACAACAATCGATCGCCAAAACACGATATATTTTAAACTTAGTATTTAATTTTAATGATCTACTATAAAAACAGACGTGTCCTATTACGGCAGTGCTTAACAATTGACTAAAATTGTGCAAATCACCAATTTCAAACGGTTTAGTTCTGTTTTACGTTATAATTGAATTCGTCACTAATTAATTTTTTTTTTTTAATTAAAATTTATTTATTTAATTGAGTGCTTAAAAATGATATGAAATTTCAGTTTGTTGCTTAAGTCTTCTGATTTGCAATATAAAGTTTGCACTTGAAAGCAAGCACAAAAAATTACAGCAACAAAAAAAGTAGTAAGTTATTATATCAAATATTTTATTCTATTAATATTTATTTAAATAACTCTTAGTTTCTCTCTAAAAAAAAAACAACAAAAGAAAAAACTTAATGTCAAGGTCCGTTAAATTTGCAGATTTTTTTCTTTATATTTATTTAGAATTAATCAAATTTTCTGCACATCAGTTATTCTTTTTGCACGCTTGTGATTATTTGCCTATTGTAAGATTTACTTTAGAAAATTAATTTTCTATTGACTTTCTTCTAATTTGTTTGTCACACTTTCCCCTTGCTTTGTCACACAATATTTTCTGAAGACTTTTTTATTTTTATATTTTAAGTATATAATTCTTTAAATTTTTATACAAAGAACCAAGTAAAATCATGTACCAACGCACGAATTGTACTGTCGCTTGAGCAAACTCACATTTTATTAAAATATCAAATTTATCACAAATTTATCTTTCAAAAGAAACCAATCAAAGGAGATATGTTTCTTGTGAGTATCACTTTCACACCTTGCGAAGTACCGTTTAGCGCGCTCGCAACCACATCAGCGTGTGTCCAACAATTAACTAAGCACTTTGGCCAAATGTTGTTAAAGAAAAACCCGCAGCAAACAGTCGCAGTAGTAACAGTCAACAGTCAGCAGTCAGCAGTCAGCAATCGGCAGACAACAACCAACAGTTAACTATCATCGACGACGAAGTCGCGTTTACTTTTTTCAGATAGACGCCAACAGCAACTGTTATAACGACGACAACATTTTCAATGATGTTAACAATGATAATAATTATTGTGATGATTATGTTAGTCATAATCATTATAAACGGCAGTTCGTTCAGTCAATTTTTTTTGGCATAAAAAGTATAAAAAAAATAAACAATGAAACTTGGTATGAACGCACGCCAAGAGTAGTAGAAACCGTTTTCAATAAACCATCTGCATAAACGCTAGCAACATGTTCGTGGTTCGCTGGCAACAAAGTTGCTATGATGACTTCTTTTTGTTGCGTTTCTTGTGGGCATGCTGAAAACTTGGTTAGTTGGTTAAGTGTGTTGTATTTTCTGTTGTATAAATTTAACTCAAACGACTATAGATTGAATATTGTATATTGAAATGAAAAGTTTTGAGTAACTTACAAAGTGAGTGGACTTGGTATGGTGAATTTTTATGCAGATAATGAAATTGTCATGTTAAATTCATAAATATTTTTTGTATTGAATTGAGTATAAATGCATTTAATGAACATTTATGCAAATATTTTATAAATAAAAGTTTTATGTACTATGACAAAAAATATTTGAAATTTGAAAATATTTGAACTTTTTTTAATCCCAAAAACCCTATTATGTTTAATCTAATAAAGAAAATGAACAGTAGATTTATTTAAACTTTTTTAAATAAAAATTAGAAAAAATAGAAAAAGTTGTGGCATTTGAAAAATTTTTAAAACCAAACATCCTATTATATCTAATATCCAATAAAGAAAATAAACAGTAGTTTAATTTAAATTTATTTTAAATAAAATTTTTTTGTCTTTTTTAATAAAATATCTTTCTATCCATAGAAATAACGGCAATAGATGAAAAATATTCAAAGCCCAAAATTCAATTTTAATCAAGTGAATTCCTGAGCTGACTATATGGCAGTGTTTTAAAAACAATGGTATTTAAAATTAATTAAAAACAACAATTTGACATAAATAAGTGAATTTATATAGCTGTGGCTAGTTCAAGAAATACAATAGTAAATGCAGATATTGGTAGCGAGTAAAGAGCAAAAACTGAAACTTTTAATATCAAAACTTTCAATGTGAATATATTTGAAATAAATTTAGCCACTCTATAATATTCAAAACAATGTGATTTAAAAAACTTTTTAAAATTCTAAAAGCAATAACTAGTGTTTTAAATCTAATTTATATTTACATTTAAAATTTTCTACATATAAATTTTGACTTTCTTTTGATTT